GAGCGAATCCTACAGTACTACCTTAGGAAGGCAATTTAACTATTCTCTCTCCCCTAGCAATATCTTTTTATCTCTTATTTATCTCTCTTTACTAGCAACTTCCGCTATCTAAGTAGCAATATTCTAACAGTTTTCATCCTAAAGAATTCGCACTTCTTTATCTAGGCGTATAAGCCCGCCTTACGTAGAGCTATTAAGACCCTCCTTAGGTAATCTTCGTGTTTACGCTAGGTGCAGCTGTAGATTAGGATATTATTAAGGTACGTAGTGCAGAAAACGTTGAGATACTCTTATAGGGTATTATTAATAAACTTCTAGAATATAGCAGGGGCTCCCGTTAAGCTAAACGGCATTACTAGGGACTTATATAGGCCGAACCTTATTCAGAATGTAGTAAGGTACTCCTAGCCTTCCTTAATGCGTACGTTATTAAAGGTAGCAATAATATTAATCTTTAAGAAGTACTTCATGCCCTTTAGGTTATTTAGGCTTTCCTTAACTAGTAGAAGCGGGTACTAGTCTTTAATAGAGATATTATTTAGGCTATAGTAGTCTACGCAGAAACGAAGGCCTCCGTCGGGCTTCTTAACAAATAGAATAGGGGAGGCGGTAGGGGAGGAGCTTAGACAAATAAACCCCTTACGTAGGTTCTCTTCGAGCCACTCTCGTAGAGCTATAAGCTCCTTACGGGACATCGGGTACAGCAGACTAAAGGGGGGGGACTTACCCTCTAGCAGACGAATATTATAATTATAGGCGCGGTGTAGAGGGAGCTTCTTAGCCTTCTTAGGCGAAAATACGTCTAAAAACTCTCAAAGCTTCTTAGGGAGACAGGCCTTCAGGTTTCTAGGGTCCGCAGGGTTAAGGGGATCGGTGCCCACTAGAAGCTCATTAATCTACTCAATAGACACTTTAAAGATCTAGTATTTCCTTCAGTTATACGCCGCGTAGGCTTGTAGAGATACTCTCGCGATATCTAGGTGGCGGAGCTTTTCTAGTTAGTTTAGTACAGAAGCTAGGCGTGCCTTCTTAGGTATATCGTACAGGGTAGGGATCTAGGTTGGGCGCTCGGGGAGGTTGTAGTGTTTTCAACAGTACTCGCTATTAAATGTGAAAGTATAGCTCACGAACCCCATTCGAGGGTTATAAAGCTTTATCTAGGGTATCCCTAGGATAATAGAGTAGTATACTAGCTGCGTAGCTAGTAAGCAAATGGTCTCTTAGTAGTTACCTACCTCTATAGTAGTCTTTAGGTAATAGGTAATAGACCTAGTTTTAGCTTCTCAGCCGTTAAACACCTCTAGTCGAATTAGCTATCTTAGTTCTTATAGGGGTAGTCCCCAGCTCCTTACCCAATTTAAGTCTACGAAGCCTTTTCCTTTAGCTCTAGTATTAGTCATAGTATAGGTAGGTACTATTTCCTTTCCTACCTTCAGAGTAACAGGCAGTATTATTAGGTTAGACCTTAGCTCGCTTTCCTTACTTACTAAGAGTCCTCTAGCGGACGCGGTGGAAATATAGACTAGGCGGCGTTAGTCCTAGTTACGCGGTGAGGGAGCCTAGACGCGACTTAGTTTAGGCTTACCTTATTTACCAACTAGTTTAGGCTACTTCAAGGGCTAGCACGGCGGTAGTTAGAGGGCGAGTTAGGAGGGATAGTTCGGCGACCTCGCAGGGGCGTAGGGGCTTAGCGGCGTGTAGGACTAACGGTATATTCCATGTTGTTAGAGCGGAGTTGTAAGGTTGAGCGATTATCTAGGTGTAGGCAGTCCCTAACTTAGTACTGCAGCAATCTACAGCGGAAGCACTTGTTCCTCTCTCATCTTCCTCTAGTCGCGAAATTCCTCTAAGAGCTTAGGTCCATTAGGTTAGCTAAGGCGGCAGTAGGGAGGGGGGTGGAATAGGGCGTGGACGGGCGTCCTACGGCCTCTCTACTCGTGTATTTAGAGTTCTTAGTAGACGGTGTTCCCTAGGACTAGTTAATCTATTGTTAGTGTTAGTGGTAACGGTTATCAAGCGTTTAGAGGTGGTTAACGTAAGCCATATACTTGTTAGACGGGGCAGAGCTATAAAGGAGTATATCTTAAAGTTCTCGGGAAATGCCTTAGAACAGTAGTAGTACTAGCGCACTCTCTAGCATCTCAGCCTCTAGAGCTAGGCGCTAGAACTTAGATAGGTAGGTAGTAAAATCTAGGTACTTCTATTTCTATTAGAAGAGACGGTTCTAAGCATTCTAGGTACAGTCAGGGTCACTAAACGCTCTCTCTAGGTACTTAAGCATCTACGGGTAATTAACAAACTAGGGAATTCCATACTAGATCTTTAGTAGTATTAAGGCGTAGACCTTTCTAGTAAGTCGTCCTACTACGTAAAGCATGCGCCCAGTAGCCTACAAGAATCAATCAGCGTTCGCGTTCATTTTGCCGTAGATTTACTAGATAAACCAGTATAGGTCGCTTTAAGTTCCATCAAATTCCTTTAGGTCAGGTATTCTCTCACTAAGGCTAGAAGTTCAAGAACTTAGGGGAGTAGCAGGCGTAGGCAGTCCCGCTAGGTTATCTACAGTAGCCTTAGTAACGGTAGCTTAGGCGGGAGGAGACAGAGTGGCAGCAGGGAGGTTCTATACCGCGGGGGCAGCAGCAGCGGCCAAATAGACCTTGTCAATTTCAAGCTAAGTAATTTATTTCTAATCAGCTGCCAATTATTCTCTCTAGTACTAAACAATACCATCTCGCTCAGAGACTTTAGTCCGCAGAGCTTACTCGCGGTCCTAGGCCGCGGCTAGAGCTTCCTCTAGCTTCTAGGAGTACTAGGCCATATTCTAGAAGTACATTAGCCATTCTCCAGAAAGGCTATTAACACTAGCGCTAAGTTCCTCAAGCGTCTCAGAGGAGGTGGGCGGTTCGGGTCAGTCCATAGTAGTATTAGTACGCGTGCCTATAGAGAGGAGCTACGTAATGTCACAGAGCGGGCTCACAGGCAGAGAAGACAAGCACGGGTACAGGATCTATTACTACAGCTAATCAACAGGCTCTCACTACAAGTAGTATAGAGTAGTAGACAGGACATAGCTCGAAGAGCTATCTAGACTACGGTGCTACGGTTTTGCAGAATCCAGGTGCTCAGGCCCACACCCAGATTCTACCGACAGCCAATTAGGACAGCCGTGCGCCAGCCACCTCGCTAGCACCATAGCCCTAGCAGCCTCCCGTGGAATTCCAGTCTCATGCACCTGGAAGTAGCCGGTCCGCTGCTATGTCAGCTAGCGCCGTGACACGATAAGCTGCCTCTGAGTCTGTTACTAGACAAGTAGAAGGCAGAGACCTCTACCTCTGAGCTACTAGTAGAACAAGCAGCTACTTCCGCACCCTTA